TTCAAGAAAGGGGGAGGGGCTCTGGGGCGACGCAGACGTGGTTGCGCGGCCCGACGTAGTGTAGTCCACACACTTAACCAGACAGCAGAATCGTCTGCGAATAATGACCTTTCAATCAAGGACGTCACTTAAAACACTTTCGGGACACTGAAAAACACTGAGCCCCCTCCCCGCCCGTCTCAATGCTGATGAGAGCCCCCGCTCCCATCACTCCCCTGAATCCCCTCAATGTAACCCATATGAGCAAAGATGTGATACTGCGCCAAATCAATACAGAACGATTGTCTTAATTATTAGTATACTAGGTAATAGGTACCACAACAATTTACTAGTATCGTGATATTGTTTGCCAAATGATATTATGTTGCCAACTCATGTACTTGCCATACTGGCTCGTTCATATGTGAAGGCAGTTTGCAAGTATTTGACTAGTTTTCCAAAAGGTAACGTCTGGATTGTGATAAAGAACAATTCACGGCAACATACGGTAACTTTGAGAAGTACATGGTGGCCCAGATAAAAAATGACATATGTTTTCCCCCAACCGAAGCATAATCACGGTTGTGGTTCTTATGCAATACGATCACCGACAGCAGTAGTCATGAGGAATCCCAAGGTAAGACTAAGATGTTTTTTCTGTCGACTACACCGAATTCTAAGCTTCTCACAAAAAGGCAGCCCACATGAGCTTGAAATGGGGTCATTCTTCCGCAGAAAAACGATTTTGGATCTGCGAGATGCATTTTTTTCTTAGTGTTTAAAATAAATCAACATAAAATAAATCGATGTAAAACGAGTTGGCCAAAATCCGGAAGAAGTCAAGCTTTGGGGAAAGGTTAGCCAATCTTTTTGGCTGATCCCTCTCGAACCGATTCAAGAAACTGGCCACTGTTTTCAGTGTTAAATGCTAACGCTAACTTGTCTATGTTTGTCGTCATTGCGAACAATGTCACGCCTGGAACGCCAGCTTGAGCTCAACCTTTGTATTTTCGCCGGAATCGAGTTCAAAGATTTGTGCTTGCGTGCGCGCGCGCGCGCGCGCGCGTGTGTGTGTGTGTGTGTGTGTGTGGCCATGGAACTCAGTGACAATCCAGTTGATGAGGGTAAAGCTGCTATGGCTCTCACCCTAGCGGGAAGGGCGGACAGCGTGGGTGATCGAGCCCCGTACCCTTGGTTCTCCACACGCGTAGCTTAACTACTGCGCTACCGGCACCCAGGCGACAGGATCCTTCCAGACAGATTTCGGTACGCAACTAGTTTTGTGGATACCATGCATAGGCGTGAGAAAGCTTGGGGGGGGGGAGGGAGTAAAGTGGCACGCCAGTCGCACTGTCCGAGTCCGCCGAAAAACCCTTTGATGACTCTTTTTTGATGGTGCATGAACAATCGTCTTTAGCATTAAATGTTGCCACCCTCACCCCTGAGACGTCCCTTCGTCTGTAACCACACCACGTGGACTGTGACTGTCTGCCTACTGCAATCAGCTTTACGTAGGTCACTGATTATCAGGACCAAACAATGATTAGGATTCAATTCGCATTTCCTAGAAGATTGATGGCTCATTGCCCCAAATGCCTGCATCGCAATGCCTTGATCAGAGACATAGCCAATGGGCAGGGGCAATGCCTCCCCCATGAGCAGAAGCTTACACTAGACACTAGGCGTTTCAAATGTCCTCCAAGTTCAGGGTATTTTCTAGAAAATTTGTCATTTGGTCCACACCTAAGCAAAAGAATATATATTGTGTCTGATCCTAGTTGTCGGGTAACGAATGCTTTTCGTCTTTGTTTGTGAGTTGTGCGGTGTGCCGAAAGTTTGCAAATAAAAAAGTGAGTTTATGGCCAAGACAAGTAATTCTGCACCTTGTTGGACGCATGCCACACCGTCGGGCACAGGCGTGGGAACGTTTCAAAAAGTGAGGGCTAAGCTCAGGGCGTACTTCAGGGAATCTTTTCTGGAAAGCCAGCCAGATGACCGGGGGAGGGGAGGGTAAAAGTGGAGATTGTTATCGCTATTTGTTCAAATGTCATCGCTATGGCTGCTATGCTAGATATGTATCTAGAGCTTTCTATACTGGTGTGCAATCTTGCCTAGTCCACTCATCTATGTCGTTCGACAAATAAGGTCATCCAGCTTCCAAGATTATTCGTCCATTTCAACAGTCTTTCCTGGGGAGGCGAAATTCCACGACCGGGTGGGCATTTTTGGTCAGTGAGGAGGCATCAGCCTTTACAGGGTAGACGCCAGAATACGGCCTGGATATAGGCTGGTGAGGATTTTAACTGTGAATCGATGGCTCACAGTGCGACAGATTTTTCATGCGCCTTCATTTCGCTGGCTGCTTTCAAGAGATGAGACTTGTTGCAGCATTTTACTCGGAAACAAATTTGGAAGCTTGAAAATGCCAAAAACAGTGTGAAAAAAGCATCAAAACTGGAGCGTCTCCTTTAAAAATCAAGCCACAGTAATACATATGTCGGACACATGCAATAACATTTTTCCGAGTTATGTTCCCTTTAATCACACCACTGCAGAAAAACCCCGGGAAGCTGCCTGGCTTAGGTATGATTGGCCCAACGGACATTTGTCACCAGAACCCATCATTAAACGAATGCGACTTGATTTGCTTTTGTGTGCAGGCAGGTGCATGGCAAGAGCCTTGCCAAGGGGGAACACGGGGTTGACAAAAGCCCGTTTTATGGTGACCGCCCCCCCCCAAAAAAAAAAATCCGAATAAACCAACTTAACCAGCTTAAAACCAACTTACTTGTTAACAAGGGACACGATTTTTTCGTTTTATTGCTTTTCTTACCTTGTCACCGGAACAGAAACCAGAAGTTACCTTGAGGTCAATTCTGCTTTTATTTTGAAGTCAATAATCTGCAAAAATGATGCGTTCAACGACCGCATAGATTAAATCACCGGCGCCCTTCGTTTGCATTGGTTTAGTGAACTCTTTCTAAGAATTCAGAACCTTTGTCAGATTTTTTTATCTGGGTTCTATAGACATTAAGGACATCGCGAAGGTAAATTGTGGATCGGTATGCTTGATCGAAATTTGAATATCAAAATTTGATTGTAGATGGAGTGGTCAACAATGTGTATTAACATGGCCAAGCCATGTTTGTCTGGAGATGTTTAATATTCAATCAGAATCGATTAGCGGTACATTTTATGTAGCGTGATTTGTTAAATACACGCTCGTAAATCCTAGCAATACAAACCTTGACATCAGACGTTGCAGTCTCCACAGACCGCGGAGCGTTAGCCCAATGTTTAACTTTGAGCCGTGGCCTACCGGTGGACAAAAATGACGATGCTTCTGAAACAATAAGCTTTAAACACTTAAACAAATCAGTGATGCAAGTAATGGGACGCAATTTTGAGCAAGCAAGTAACACTCGCAAATCTCAGAAACATGCACTTCGACAACAGGCGTTGCAGTCTCCGTAGGGAGAGTAGCGTTGGTTCAGCGGCTAATACTGAGCTGTGACAAATGAGTGGAAGAAAATGGTGACGCTTCTGAAAGAAGTACCGTCGAACGCTTCAGGGCAGCACATGTTACATTTAGAAGACGATCTGAGCGCATATTTCACGTGGGCGATTTTTAGACTGCTGATAAGAACGGATTAACCCTTAAAGCACTGCGATCTGGTGGTGGAACTGGAAGAGTAAAGATAGAATCTCTATTTTTCGTGTTTCTGTAGCTAAGAATCCGTCCAGAAGACAGATAAACACGGTGCCCGCCGTCTGTTGGCGTTTGCGGTAGCCGACGCCGTTCGGTTTACAGAAGCTGCAGCCCAGGTCATTGCTGTCCTTGCCCTTGAGGTTGCGAGCAGGCATATTCAAACATTTTTAAGTTATTTGTTTAATAATCCATTCTTACGAATTAAAGCTCTCAGGCAAGCATGGGCTGCCAATGTTCACATTTTTCACCCATTTTACCCACCCTATTCAAAAATGATGAGACCTCCACTCTATTCAACGATAATGGGGCCTCTTATTCCCTTCTGAGCAAGGGGCCCCTTGAGTAGAACACCAGGGCACATTGCCGTTCCCGGTCAAGTGCTGAAGGACCATTCCGTCTCATCGCGAAGTGCCTTTTGGCTGTCATTCTGGTGACAGGCGGCGGGTCTCCTGGTCGATCCAGAGGCCATTAGAAAGATATATCGTGCCACATTGTTCCCCTCTCTGACACAGGAGACCTTCTGATCCGCAGAGTTGGTTCTGGGTCAGGACAGGAACCCTCATTGACGCAACAACGTCCCTGATCGCCGCGGGTGATCCAATGGTTGTCACGGGGAGTACAGTTTCGTGTTTTTGTGTTCTTCAGAGATATTGAGGGCTCACTGAATGTATATCGCTAACGAAATGGGTCCCAAATTTGCAATAATAAGGTTAATCCATGTTCGTCTTAAAATGTTCAAGATTCGGCCAAAATTGATTAGATCGGTCAGTATTGGTCAAAATTGGTCGGTCAGAATTGATTACTGATAAAAACCATGTAATGTGGTTTTTAACATACACGGGTCAGTCATAACAACAACAGCCTCGACGCCCGGCATTGCAGTCTCTGTAGGCTGCGTGGCGTCGGCCTGCGGCTGGCATCTAGCGATGGGCCAATGAGCAAGCGAAAAGATGACGCATTCTGAGGAAGATGGCTGGTAAACTAGGTAAATCGGGATGTAGGTCTAATGTAGTGCAGAAGTGAGCTAAACACACCCTGAACCTAAAGAGTGGGGGGGGACAGTTAACACTGCTGGCCCCAACCTTGAAAAGTGGTTGGGCCATGGCCCTCTGCCCCCCTTCCTACACCCATGCCGTCGGGCCTCGCGCGTTCCTCCTCCCCTAAGAAAGGCCTGCGCCGCGACCGCCAACCATCGCGTTCAAGGTCAGACTGGCTGAGATGGAGAGGCGAGCGGCCCGACGGCGCATGCGCCACCCGACGCTGGCAGCCCGCCATCGGTGACCCTGCTGATTTGGCATGACTGCGCAGTTACCGCAGTTGCCGCTCGTGCGCCGGGGACGGGTGGTGTGTGGTGGTCGCCTGCGGACCTGACCGATTCCTTGGCAGTTGACGCACGATGGTGCACCGGTCAGCAATGTCGGCGTTCCGCCCTGGTGCCGTGTGGAGCGGTGTGTCCGAGTGCGCACGCGGCGAGAGCGGCCGTCGCGTGGGCAAGGTGTTGCTGGGCGCCGCCCTGCTCGGCATCGGCCTCAAAGTGTACGGCCGCTACAGGCGCTACCAGCGCCGGCAGCGCTGGGAACCAGGCCGGGAAGGACGTGGTGGTGCTGCACCAGTTTGAACGCGCCACCAACTTCCCCAATCTGTCGCCGTTCGCACTGAAGCTGGAGACGTTCCTGCGCATGGCCGGCATCAAGTACGTGGTGGACACGGAAGAGCCACAGGGGTCACGCAACAAGTGCCCTTGGATCACCTTCAACGGGCAGGAGCTGTCCGACTCGGAGCTTATCATCGACTTTCTGACGCAACACTTCGGGAAGCCGCTGAAGGAAAAGCTCACGCCAGCAGAGCATGCCGTGGGGCGAGCCGTTCAGGTGATGCTCGACGAGCACACCATTATGGCCGTGGCGTACAAACGCTACGTTCTCGACGGGTGGTCCTACATCATGGGGCGCTTCCCCAAGAAGTATCGGCTCATGCTCAGGCTCATGATGCCAATAAACTTCCCGAAGATAAAACATTTGTTCTACACTGTTGGCATAGGCCGCTTCAGCGAGGAGGAGACAATGTTTTTTCCTGCGTCGTGAGCTGCGGGCGCTGGAAGATGTACTCGGCGACAAGCCGTTCCTGCTGGACAGTACGCCGACCACGTACGACGCGGCTGCGTTCGCCGAGCTGACCCAAGTCATATACGGTTGCGCACCGGAGGTGGAGCGCTACGTTCGCGCTAACTACGACGCTTTGGTGCAATACCACGAGCGTATGAAGGACAAGTACTGGCCCGACTGGGAACAGTGCCGAGCCGAGTAGGCGGTCCGCCGAAATGCTGTTCGCAGTGGATCTTGTGAACACTGAATAGTACACTGAGTAGTGCGTGATGTCTTTCTGTCACGTCTCTGACCATCTCTGCGATGTCATCTTAATGTGTATGTATATATATATATATATATATATATATATATATATATATATATATATATATATATTCGTATACATATATACACATCATTTCTTCCATATATATATATATATATATATATATATATATATATATATATATATATATATTATACACGCTTTCGCTCTCGCTCTTGCTCCTGCTCTTGCTCTTTCTCTTGCCCTTTCTCTTGCTCTTGCTCTTTCTCTTGCTCTTGCTCTTGCTCTTTCTCTTGCTCTTGCTCTGCTCTGCTCTTGCTCTTGCTCTTTCTCTTGCTCTTGCTCTTGCTCTTGCTCTTGCTCTTGCTCTTGCTCTTACTTTCGCTGTTACTGTTGTTGTTGCTCTCACTCTCGCATGGGCATGTTGCTGCCTGGCAATGCGCTGTTCGGCATCGGCTTCAAGATGTTGGGCCACTAGAACCAGGACCCCCGCGGTCTTCTCCGCACTATATGTAGCTCTCCGGGATACGTGTAAGAAGTCAACTTTTATTCGGTGGCGCCAGAAAAATGGCAAGCAGACGTAGCGTGCGAGGCGTCAACTATTTCACGTTGCAAATGCAAAGGCATTCATTGATTAAAACGGGATGACGGCAGGACGAGAACCACTGGAACAGATGGAAGAAGAAAGGTAGTAGGCCCAAGGAATGTGTTTTCATTCTTCACCCATGCGAGAGAAATTGGGGCGACGTAGTCGTGATACGGTATGAAAGACTGGAGGGGTCATGCCCATGCATTAAATATAACCTCTAACGCACATTGGGCGCTACGAAATCAGCCAGCCGATAACATATGTGAGACTTGCCAGCGGTCATCACGTAAGTAGCAGGGCCTGCAGGCGATGTGTTTTAGTAGTTCGTGCCAGCCGGTTTTATCTGGATACATCCAGCTGATGTAGACCGCTGGTCGTAAAAACCTGTTGAAGCACGTGAAAACCCAAGTGAAAGAAAAATGTGCCGCGTTTTAACAAGTGGATTGTAAAGTGCTTGACTACTTTATCTGCGCTCTCACCTGAAACTCGTCCAACTGTGGCTGCATTTAGTATAGGTTGATTAACTGCAGGTGTTTCTAGTGTTTTCTATTTTCCAAATACACGCCTGTGGGGAGTTCCGCAACTATCTATGGTGAATTTTGGCCCTCAAATTTGCGCTTGGGTCTTGCGACAGTTTTTATTTATTATTATCGATCGCATCGATGGCTGTGGGTGAACAAATACAATGCTAAAAAATGAACCGATCGATGGGTGGAAAAGGACGGATGCGCTGGCTTTCATGTGGCGAGGAGCTGCGCGCTAGTGCATGTCCATTATCTTGGTTGGTACGACCTCGTGCGTATAGGGATTGCGCTGGCGGTCGAGTGGTACGCACTTTAAGATCCCTAGCGTAGTTCGAGGCGGAAAAGTATGATAGTCTGAAGGTACCTGGTGTATCACTGACATCGCAGCAATAATTCCAGCGCACGTGCCCTGTTATTTCGAACGATGAATCCGGTGCACGTGCATTCGGAATTGGGTCATTAATTTCAGGGTGTTGGAATTTTAGCCGCTGGTAGCCACTGCCAGAACAATGAAGAACGATAACATTTTCCTAGAGCCTAGCGCAGCCGGCTGACACGACACAGTGGTTGCGCGACATCTCAGTTTGAAGGCCAACACGAATAAATCGCGGCACGTATCAACTGACCAGCCTTACCATACATTCAACCCCATACAACCGTAGCCCCCCAGCTGAATGTAAACAGAAAGGGAGATCAACAGTGGCCGCCGCTATCGACGCGTTTGCAAGCTGCTGTCAGCGCTGACAAGCGACTTCCTCTAACAGCCACCGTCTAGAGCTAACGATACCTTCTCGATGATGTCGGTGTGTTTGGTGGTGAATATTGCTTGGGGTCTATCCCATAACTTCGTTCTTCCATGCGCACCCAAGAAAATTTGGGGGCTGTGCAATATCTCGTCAGTGGAGGCGAATTGCTAGAAACCAATGACACAACAAATTCTCACTCGAAACTCCCTACCATTCCACGTGCACAGTCAAATATCTCAATTGACAATACACACTCCTTTAAATGTCAGCGATGAAACATGCCACTTTGACATGCATACAATCATTTGTGAACAAAATATTTGCTACTTGACCCTGCAAAGAACTCTCCCTGTTGCGAGCCAAGTTAAAAGCTATCGATGGATTTTCGATTTTCTGTTTTCAGCGTAACACGTTTGACGAGTTCCATCCTTTTTGATGAGGGTTTGCTCCGCTGAGAAGTCTTCAAAATTGTTTGGTATGATGCCTTAATCACGGAAAAAACGTTTTGCCAAAACGTCATGCAAAATTCAGATTAATGGCTATAACTTGGTTGAAAATCGACCGATTTCAGAACTTCAGAACAAGACTCGTCTTGGCATCCCACGTTATATTTTTTTTATTGCAGAAAGATCCGTCAAGTAGTTTTCTTGCCGTATTAACTTACTTACGGCCCCGAAAAGCGTTCAAACAATAGCTTGCATGCGCATGAACGGGAATATAACAGCACCGCATATGCACCCACCGATTTCAGCTTCTGCGAAAACTTTGGGGGGATTTAGCGAAGACTTGCGGTTGCCTGGGGCATTAACCTAGAAAGTTATTGAACAGGCCAAAATTTAATTGGCCTGACCTATCGAGAAAAATTCTTAAAACGCCAAAAATTATCAAAATGGCGTTTCAAAAGATCGCATTCCAAACGCATTTGTGATAGGAGAAAATGGTTTTCACCATTGTATTCAGAATCGTTGGAACTCGTAAATGGAGACATTGCATGACCCTAGGTAAGCCAGAAGAGACTTAGCGTGACTTATAAAATCGAGGATAAAGCTGGTACATGGCAGGGATAAAATGGGCACCGAAAGGATACAGTCGGCCCATTTGTTTTAGTTCCACAATTTGCCACTTTGTAAACAAGTCACTTTGACGTTCTTCCGGAACTCCGCAGCGATGTCTGAATGACGAGTGTGTTAATGGACCTCACGTGCCTGCGGCGTCCTGGAATTACCGACCTACGGGATAAAGCAACATGCTATGAGGGGGAATTTGTCACGCATTTTCCCCAAAATTTATGTCAATTTTTCACTCTACCTGATTTCATGACCTGATGTCCTTTTTTATTTGACCTTTGATAACCTGACCTGATGAATTTATAGCCGTGTGCCAAATACTAAGCTTTCACGTAACCCCGATTTTTTTGGTCGCACCACGAGAGCACCGCACCGCCAACACAAAGCTTGGTACAAACACCAGTACGGACTGGTAGAGACTTTTACTTCACGTTTTTCTTTTACCCGATAAAATAACCACTAAGTTGCACCACTGACGAAATGCAGGCGTGACAAATTCAAGAAATGTCTTCGGAATGAAATTTAAGAGCTTAATATCGCCGTTTGAGCACTCCTTTTTCCAGATATATAGTCAGTTGAGCTGATAACAAAATTTAATCAAAAGGTCACCAGTTTGTGTGTCAACTTAATTACTTTCGTTTTTCTTGTAATCACGCGCGTGGGTTACAATTTCTTTTTTTCCTTTCTGATTGCCTTTAAAGATACCATCTATGGCTTAAAATGTTGATCAATTTCTCTGCAAAATGTTCCAACTGCAAACTTGCACATATTTCATACATAAATTGGATTCCTTTGCCAGCCCCAAAACATGTTTGATACTCCCCGAAGAGTGAACAATTCATAGGAAGGGAAGGAGACAATCTGAAGCACGGGGCTTATTGTTAACGTCATTTTTGCGCAGTTAAACCCTCAGTGAGCTTCTTTTGTTCATGGCGGTGCCTAAAAGTCATAAATGTAAGCAATCCTAGGTTCACTACCTCGTCAGAGTGCGCTATCCTAGCGTACCCTGACGAGGTAGTGACTTCGGGACAGACCTGGCGGAGCTTATACAGAAGCGTTTGGTAGTGAAATTATGTTTTATCATGCATGCCTCTTCTTACTTTTTTGCATTTTAATCCTGTAGGTTGGTCGGCATGATTGATATTTATGGGTTGGGGTTGGGTTGGATGGCCCTGTCTATCAGCAAACCATGCAAAAGATGCTGACTTTTGTGTGCGATAGCGGAAAGAAGCATGCCCTTAAAAAGTCCGCAAGTTTCTCCTGTGGAGCAACTAATTGCTAACCTTGCCTGCTTTCAGCACATGATTTGTAACCAGATTTAGTCATTTTTTTAATACATCAAGTTGTCTTCATAAGGCAAATTATGATGCCACGAGACATGTGATTGAACTATTTTGATCCATGCTCTTGATTATTTGCCTCAAATTTGTTGAAATGGCCCCTCACTGTTGGCTTTACCAGATTTTGTCCATAGTTGTCATGGTTTGCTGACTGGCAAGTGGCTACTGCAGATATGCGCTATATTTTTAACACAGGAAAACCCTAACCTGCATACCAGTTACATCATGAGGTGGATGTCAGTTTTCAGCAAATAGACCATCCTATTTACAATGTAAAGTAAACATCCCAAACCTGAAGTCATGAAATGTGAATGACAAAATATAAATGAGTGTCTTTGCTGCAGCTGAAAAGGCAAGCAGCAAAACTGGTTTGGTGGCCATCTATAAGCTATGTTACATTTGGAGAAGAGAGATTGTTTTGTGAAGCATACCCACTACTGCCCTTGAGGGAGGGTAGCCATGACAAACAGAATAGTTGTTCAAATTGATTTGATGGGCCTTGATTTGTGTGTTTTCAACTTTGTTTGGTGTCAACAAGCTGCCACAAATGGTATTTAATTACCAAAACACGGGTTGCAAACCAGCCAAAAATAAGCTTATCATGCTTTGTCACAACTGTTGTTGTCGGGAAGATGAGGTGAGTTGAGATGATGTTCAACAAATAGGCTACTCTAAATTACGTTAAGTAGGTTAATTGCAAGGCAAGTGGCAGGAGGAATTTGCAAGAACTAGTGATTCACGAATGTTGCTGTAACACAGGTAGGTTGAGACAGGACGACATGAGGCAAAGCTTCTTTAGGGTGATGCTTAGTTAGGTTACTTTGGTGCAAATAAGCATTGGTATTTTGCAAGAAACAGTGACGTAATCTTTTTATTTCCTGACATCATCTCAACAGAAGCCAGAGGTATGCCTGATGTGTTTCATTTGATGCGTTTATGAGCCAATACTTTTTGTTTGAATGCTTTGTGCTTCCTGAATTTTTTGTTGGTTTTGTTGTTCAATTCATTTGCTTGATTTTGTATTAAAAAGTTATGTTGTAGCGATGCGAGGTCAACACCCAAACGAGTGCAGTCGCCGATAGGTGACGCTAACGAGCGTGGTAGTGTGTGAGGTATTATGTGTCTGGTGAGAACCGTGAGTGTCTCGAGAGGTTAGTTCATTGTTTTTTATGTTTGGCAGTAGGATGAGTGTTTTGTCTACAAATAAACGACGGCTAACGTAGCTATTGTTTGGTGGCTCATCATATTGTCAATCATAACTATGCACATTGCTGCTGCTATAAAATGATATAGCTGGCCCCAGCCATGGCGTTGAAATATATCTTAAGCAACCTGGCAACACAGTGTGTCTTGTTCTTCGTGATACGTCCCTCTTTGGACGCGTTTTCCTGTCTGTCAGTCCAGGCCGGCATCATCTTGATGCCGGCGCCGATGTTTCACGCTGGATCAGTACAACCACCGCAGCGGTGCTGGCCGTTGGCAGCGAGAGTCCTGAGGTGCAGGTGATAACGTTTGCGCCACGCTGCACGGGAGTTCGGGGTGTCAACTGAAGAAACCAACAGGGCAACTACTGACACATTTCTCTATTGTCACCGGAGATTTGTGTTGCGCCGT